AAGTGTCAGTGTGTCATTGTTCTGGACCCCCAAGTGTCAGTGTGTCATTGATCTGGGACCTCCAAGTGTCAGTGTGTCATTGATCTGGGACCTCCAAGTGTCAGTGTGTCATTGATCTGGGACCTCCAAGTGTTGGTATGTAACTGTTCTGGACCCCCAAGTGTCAGTATGCCATTGTTCTGGGACCTCCAAGTGTCAGTGTGTGATTTGTCTTGAACCCCCAAGTGTCAGTGTGTCATTGTTCTGGACCCCCAAGTGTCAGTGTGTCATTGCTCTGGGACCTCCAAGTGTCAGTGTGTCATTGATCTGGGACCTCCAAGTGTCAGTGTGTCATTGATCTGGGACCTCCAAGTGTCGGTATGTAACTGTTCTGGACCCCCAAGTGTCAGTGTGTCATTGATCTGGGACCTCCAAGTGTCGGTGTGTAATTATTCTGGACCTCAAAGTGTCAGTGTGTCATTGTTCCAGACCCTTAAGTGTCAAGGTGTCATTGTTCTGGAACCCCTTAAAGGCAGTCTGTCACACTTCTGGAACCCTTAGTGTGAGGTTGTCATTGCTCTAGGACCTCCAAGTGTCAGAATGTTGTTCTGGGTCCTCCACGGTGCAAAGAGCAAGTAACCAGCTACAATGAACTCCTGTCAGCTTTTTCTCGTGTTATCCACCCTATGTTATCAGCAAACCTGACCTACTCATAGAAAAACAAACTGAGTAGATTATACAACTGCCTCTGTTTAGGTCTGCGAGCAGTGTGGGCAGCTCCGTGCTTTCATCATCGAATCGACCTTTGCCAGCTTTGGTGCTCTGACGTTGGGGAGGGCTGTAAACACCAGCCACTTGCTTCGTCTCACAGGGTTCAAGGCCTGAAATCTGAGCAGTCAATAGGTGAAGCAGAAACTGTATACAGCTCGCTCAGTCATCTTCGAATGCGTCACGTGGAGAAATACTGTGGACAGAAAAACGAGCTACAATCAAGCATGGTGATGGAGTTTACAGTCTCAACTCATTGTAGTCATTGTACCACTCATGGGCAGCATGGTTAGTAATTCCACATGGCAGTACGAGGGTTGTTGGTTTGAATCCCAACCATGGCACCACCTGCCTGGAGTATGCATGTTCTCCCTGTGCCTGCATGGGTTCCCTCCCACACTCCAAAGACATTCTGGTTGGTTAATTGATTCCTGTCTAAATTGGCCCTAGTATGGAAATGTATGAATGTGAGTTAGGGACCTTAGACTGAACACTCCTTGAGGGTTAGGGACTGATGTGAATGTAATATATAAATTATTATTACAGGTACTTATATAGCGCCATCAATTGACACAACGCTTTACATATATATTGTACATTCCCATCAGTCCCTAACCCTCAAGGGGTGTACAATCTAAGGTCCCTAACCCTCAAGGGGCGTACAATCTAAGGTCCCTAACCCTCAAGGGGGGTACAATCTAAGGTCCCTAACCCTCAAGGGGGGTACAATCTAAGGTCCCTAACCCTCAAGGGGCGTACAATCTAAGGTCCCTAACCCTCAAGGGGCGTACAATCTAAGGTCCCTAACCCTCAAGGGGCGTACAATCTAAGGTCCCTAACCCTCAAGGGGCGTACAATCTAAGGTCCCTAACCCTCAAGGGGCGTACAATCTAAGGTCCCTAACCCTCAAGGGGGGTACAATCTAAGGTCCCTAACCCTCAAGGGGGGTACAATCTAAGGTCCCAAACCCTCAAGGGGCATACAATCTAAGGTCCCTAACTCACATTCATACATACACATATTAGGGACAATTTAGACAAGAGCCAATTAACCTACCAGCATGTCTTTGGAGTGTAGGAAACCCACTCAGGCACAGGAAGAACATACAAACTCCAGGCAGGTGGTGCTGTGGCTGGGATTCAAACCAACGACCCTAGTACTGCCAGGCGGAAGTGCTAACCATTTAGCCACTGTGCTGCACGGGCTTTTTACCTTTGTTTATCCTATATGTAGTAGTCTACCTCTGGCAATAAAGGAGCCGCATTTTGTACAGTACCTTTGGGGCTTTTTCTTGTTTTCTCTTACATGACCATTCATCCGAGTATGGAGTATTAAGAGGAGGTAGGGACTCCTCTGTGCTACCCTAAGGGCCGCCATATTGGAATTCCATCATCACTTGGAAAGATTGCCGTTTTTTTGGGGATAGGCGATTATGGAGAGTGGAGGAAAGGAAGTGCTCCGTAAATTAACGATGCGATATAAGTACCTATAATAAATTGTAACTACAGCACTCATCTAATAATGTGCAAATTTGCCTTTATAACACCCCATCTCCTACACAGACAGAAATTAAAGCTCAACAGGGCTCACTTGGAAAAAGGCTTTGGCTGGGGTTTCCCTTTTAAAAGTAAAACTTGGGATTTCCTGCTGAGTGGGAGGATGACTCAGTCGGGAATCAATCCCAAACACCTTCCTCTTCGAAAGAGATGTCATTGGTCACAAGCCATCACCTATCTCTATAACAGGGTGCTACATAAGACTGTGAATGGGCTGTGTGAGTAGCCTGCATCTCCTCCGGGTTCAGCCAGGGTTGGGATGCAAATTGTTCTCCAGAATGGCTCTGAACACGTTTCATTGGAAGGATGGAGGTGTGTGTCGTGAGTCACAGGTGAGAGTTTCCCTGGAGGAGGTGGAAAAACTTGGAGAAAGTTCCTGAGTCTTTCTAGACTGGGAAGTGAGTGCCTTAACCCCTTCCCTGCAAGTAGAGCAATCGGCATTACTGAGCCTCCTTACACTGTTGCTCATGGCCAATCTGCTACAAACTTATACAAGAATGGCTTGGAGTAAATTTTATGTATAAAGAAGTTAAGAAAAAAAAAAATGGAAGTCCACAGCTGGCCATAAACTAGTAGTGTGTGATAGGCTGGATAGTGCGTGATAGGCTGCATATGTGGCCTCTGACTCCCTGACACAAGCCGAAGCCTCAGAAACTAAATTTTAATAAATCATTCATCAGTACACCTGAAAGATTATAGAACTCGGTGCTGGAATACCTTTGCTGGGTGTTATACCAGATGGCACTGACTCACCTTGGTCTACCTGCGGAAGAAGGCCACCGGCAACTCTCTGGTTGGCATCAGAGTCCCCAAATGTATGGTATCCACTGGGTTGTTGTCGGTGGCTACAATGTTATATCTCCTGACGAGCTGCAAGAAAAACATGGAACACAAACTTACTACAAAAAGGGAAAAGGGCGCTGAGGTCTACATTGTAAAAATGGCTATTCACTTTCTCTGGCTACGAATATCAAAGCTGTTTACAGCTGGAACCAATTAACAATTCTGTCTCAGTCTGTTAAACTGGGAGAGGCTACTAATAAGTTTACCTTCTGATCTCCTAACACCTAGAATAATTGGGTATCCCCTCCCGGCCCATTTCAATGTTGCTGTTGTCAGCAGTAGGAATGCTGGGTCTGTGCCCTGCCACTCCACCACTATGGGCGACATGTGAAGAAAAGTACTTTTTGTGACATTCTGAGAAGGTGTTATGCTAGGCCATGCACAGAAAAACTCAGCAGAAGAATTGGGTCCACTGGGAACCTCATGGCAACATAGGAATTATGGTATTTATCTCTAGCAGTCAACCAAGGGTGCCCTTACACTGGCAGTTACACGCACGGTTTGACCTGTTGTGTAGCATGAGTGTTCTGAACCGTGCCCAGCAACAGTTAGGTGCACCATGACTTGGAAGAGGTGGTCCTGGCATGGTTCACTTGTGGTTCACTACCATTGTGAGTGCCAATCGTGCCAATGGAACAGAACCCTCCATAGGTGACCGGGCAAAGTAGCAAAGATCGCTGTGATCTGGTTGGTAGAGGAGATGATGTCAGTGTGCCAGATGTCAGTGGAACACTTGCTTATAGCTCAGTGTGAGTGTAGACCAGCAGGGAAGGGGGGGCAATGGAACTTGAGCACAGCTCAGTTCAACCTGTCCAACCCTGAAGAAGCTCAAACGTCTGATTACATGGATCGGAATCACTGTCCTGAACACTGTAGATACTTGGTGGCTGGTTCATTCCTCATTGGGTCAACTGTGTGGCGGGCTCTTTCTACAAGTGACCCAGGTGCCCACTTTACCAGTCAGGAGGCCACCCTACAAGTGTGGGACATAAAGTAGGTCACAAGTGCTCTCTAGTACTTCATGACCAATCTGGAACACTGCAAATTGACAGTGCTTTTCCTGCACCAGCAATCTGCCTCATATATTAGTTCTACACGCTACAATCTGATTGCTCAGTCACCTTTTCCTTTGCCATAACCATGAAAATGTGAGGGTCAACCTAAACAGCCCATGCAATATTTATGCATTCAGTCAGACTTGTGTAATACATTGCTGTTGTTAGATCTGAAGGTTCATATTCTATAAGTTCAGCACACACACATGGCTAGCAGCCTGTTAACGTGACCCTTGTAACATTCCCCACCAATCAATAAGAGGGGGTCTCCCTCATGCAAAGAGGACCCCTGCCCTATATAAAGGCAGTGGTTTGGGACGCTATTTCAGTGCCCGTTGTGATGTGGAAGGTTTTATCCCTGTGGTTGGATGCGGATAGCTCCAGCTAGACTTGTCGGGAGGCCACTGATTGGTCTTGAGGTTTGAGTGCTAAGTTTGGGGTAAACAATTTTGGATAGCCCTGGACTGAATTATATGGATGCACCAAGTAATACTTGTTCTACAGACGTTGGTGAGATAGGGAGAGCTCAGCTAGACTGGTCGGAAGTCCACTAATTGGTCTTGGGGTTTGAGTACTGAGTTCGGGGGAAACAATTTTGGATAGCCCTGCACTAAATTACACAGATGCACTAAGTAATGTCTCTTCTATAGAAGTTGGTTCCCATAAAGCCACATTGTCAATGACACAATTTGATGCATTGCTTGTGCAGGCAGCAAAGTGCCATTTGCAGACAGTGCGGGACAAGGAGGGTTCAGAGGGGGAAGATGGGGATGATCCTGAAATGTGCCAAGTAACTCACCCAGCAAATGCCAAGTTGCAACTGAAGCTCGGCTAGACGTCGGCCGATGCACATCCGCTTTCCGATGCCAAATGGGACGTGGGCGAAAGGGTTCATGGTGTTCTTGTCCTGCAGCCAACGATCAGGCCGGAACTCAGACCAGTCATCATAGCATTCTTCATTGGAGCCTAGCACGTGGCTGTTTATGGTCAGGACCGTCTGCCGCAAACAAAAAACAGATACTTAATTCCATTCTTCATCTATTCCATTATATTTTCCATCCAAATACCCAGTCTCTGCTCTGAGATGGAAGAACTTTGAGTCCAATTTTTTTGCTACAATGTATAAGCCATGATGAAGCGGGATCATTGGCCCCTGAATGGCATTGGTAGCGTTGGTTCCCGTAGTGTTAATCTTTGTATTATTTACCCCTTCCCCATCAGTTCTAGCACCCCTTTACCAGGGTCTTTACACCCAGGGGTCGGGAAGGACTAGTAGATCATGCAACCCCCTATGAGTGGCTGTCAGAGTGGTCACCTGATCTGGAACCGGTTCCACCAGCTCCCGATCATTAGTAGAGACCTAGAGCTGTCTTTGATGGCTTGGACACTCAGTACAGAAAGCTCTGTCACCCGTGGACACATATGTGTGGCATTTAAAGGCCAACCTCTTTGCTGCATAAAAAATGCCTTACATGGGAGCAGGGGCGGACTGACCATTTGGAAACTCGGGCACTGCCCGAGGGCCCGGGGTCAGTAGGGTGCACCATGAGATGCCCCTGGTACCTTTTTCATAGGCTTTTTTGTGTTTGGGCAAGGACACAGGGGGCCCATGATCCCCTATTGCCCAGGGGCCCCATTAGTTGTCAGTGCACCCCTGCATGGGAGACAAGAGGTTAGAGGACTTGTCTTCTTGAGACAGCTGTGTGCCATTTTTTTACACTGAGGTTTTATTGCCATCTGCGGGCTTATGCTCTCTGACCATTATCACCGGAATTAGAAGCAAGGGGGTCACTCAAAATTCTGAGTAGTCTGCAGAACAAAAATAGAGCGTTAATCTTCCAATGGGGAAACTTCTCCCAGTAACAGCAGAGAGGGTACTTGTCTCACAAGGGAGAATTTCTCTACTTCCATCCTCGTCTCTGCGACAGGAAGCGAAGATAAATTTCCCTAATGTGACACAGAAGGTCCCACCTCCCCCAAAAACAGAAGAGAAAAAACTTAAAATGGATCTTAAGTCAAACCTTTTAAAAAAAAATTTGGATAAGGTTATAGTCCCTGTCAGTTTTTTTGCCATCTGTATCTCGTTGGGGAAATTTCTTTACTTATCATCCCATTGGAAAAAAAAAAAAAGGAAGTGAGAGGAAATCCCTCTAAAGTGGTTGTCACCAAAAGATGTAAAGTTTTCCCCTTTTCTGCCGACAACCGAAGATTTGTGATTTTCTTTTACTTTCCAAGATTACAGTTCACAGGACAGTAAAAACCTCACAGGCGGTCGAATCCCTCGTCACGCTATCCGAAATAAGAAAAAAAAAATAAAATTAAAATGTTTTTGTCTTTAGTTGTTAACCATTTCCTATCTTCCCTAAATGGAAAAAAAGGTTGGTTTTGAATATGCTTTAAAAAAAAAAACTAAAAAAAACTAAAAGTAGATTTCTCTTGCCATTGTCCTGACGAACAAAAGTTCTCATTTCCTCTATCAGTAAACATTAAGAATTATGTAACATCGGAGTCTGGCCTATTCTGTAGGAACACTTGCCAAGCTAGGACGGCCAGGGTGTTGTGATCCTCCAATCTGCCAACAGTAACTGAATATTGGGCTACTCATCAGAAATGTTACATAATGTACAGGCTGAGATACAAGGAACGATCGTCCTATCCTTCCTGGGAAAAGAAGTAAATGTCCCAGCATCCTTTGCTGCCAGCATTTAGTGGTTTCAGAAAAAAAAAGTTCTTGGCTACATTGCACAAACCACTAATAATGATAAAAGGGGGTTTCTGTTTTAAATATCATGGTAGCTTAGCATTTTAGAACTTGCAGTACTGTGGTCCTGGGTCCAGTGCCAGGCAATGCAGTCGTATAGAGTGATTATGTTCTTTCCATGTTTGCTTTGTGATCCAGTTTCCACCCACAACCCAGAGAGAAACAGAGAGGTGTTTAAACTGGCCTCTAACCAAATTGGCCGCAAGGTGTCTTCTAAAGCTAGATAAATAACTATAATAGTGCGTGGTGGGATATTAGAGTGTAAGCTCCTGTGGTGCAGAGACTCATATGACTGGCTCTGTGTTCTCTGTACAGCACTGCGGTATACGTAACAGCTATACCAAGGTATAATAATAATAGGGGTTGTGTTATGATTAGGCGCGAGATCGTGTGAAACGCGTTAACAGGTCCTGTATTCATGACCTGGTGTTTTGTGTGTCCTATGGATCAATAAAAATACACTGTATTCATCTATCCTCCGGGGTGCGGCTGACTCTTCTTCTTCCTATAATAATAATAGACTGTGACTGTGGTGGGACATTAGAGTGCAGGGGCGGACTGACCATTTGGAAACTCAGGCACTGCCCAAGGGCCCAGGGTCAGTAGGGGGCCCCATGAGATGCCCCTGGTACCTTTTTCATAGACTTTTTTGAGTTTGGGCAAGGACACAGGGGCCCCATGATCCCCTATTGCCCGGGGGCCCCATGAGTTGTCAGTCCACCCCTGTTAGAGTGTCAGCTCCTCTGGTACAGAGACTGATGTGACTGGTTCAGTGTTCTCTGTACAGCACTGCGGTATATGTCAGACCTATATAAATGTATAATATTAGTGTGTGTGCCTGTGGGGGAGGGGACATTAGAGTGTAAGCTCCTCTGGTACAGAGACTGATGTGACTGTGGGGGAGGGGACATTTGAGTGTAAGCTCCTCTGGTACAAAGACTGATGTGACTGTGGGGGAGGGGACATTAGAGTGTAAGCTCCTCTGGTAGAAAGACTGACGTGACCGGTTCTGTGTTCTCTGTACAGCACTGTGGTATATGTCAGAGCTATGTAAATGTATAATAATAATAGTGTGTGACTGTGGGGGGACATTAGAGTGTAAGCTCCTCTGGTGCAGAGACTCATATGACTGGCTCAGTGTTCTCTGTACAGCGCTGTGGTATATGTCAGAACTATATAAATGTGTAATAATTATAGTGTGTGACTGTGGGGGAGGAGAAATTAGAGTGTAAGCTCCTCTGGTACAGAGACTGATGTGACCGGTTCAGTGATCTCTGTACAGCACTGCAGTATATGTCAGACCTATATAAATGTATAATAATAGCGTGTGACTGTGGCGGGACATTAGAGTGTAAGCTCCTCTGGTACAGAGACTGATGTGACTGTGGCAGGACATTAGAGTGTAAGCTCCTTTGGTACAGAGACTGATGGGACTGGCTCAGTGTTCTCTGTACAGTGCTGCGGTATATGTCAGAGCTATATAAATGTATAATAATAATAGTGTGTGACTGTGAGGGAACATTAGAGTGTAAGCTCCTCTGGTACAGAGACTGATGTGACTGTGGCAGGACATTAGAGTGTAAGCTCCTCTGGTACAGAGACTGATGTGACTGTGGCAGGACATTAGAGTGTAAGCTCCTCTGGTACAGAGACTGATGGGACTGTGGCAGGACATTAGAGTGTAAGCTCCTTTGGTGCAGAGACTGATGGGACTGTGGCAGGACATTAGAGTGTAAGCTCCTTTGGTACAGAGACTGATGTGACTGGCTCAGTGTTCTCTGTACAGCACTGCGGTATATGTCAGAGCTATATAAATGTATAATAATAATATGTGTGTGACTGTGAGGGAACATTAGAGTGTAAGCTCCTTTGGCACAGAGACTAATGAGGATCATTTTACATTCTCTGTACAGCACTGTGGAATATGTCAGGGCTATATAAGTGCATTTAATTCACACCTTCCCATGGTAATGTTGCCTTGTTCACTGCTGTGTAGATTATGGGGCACATTATCTTTCAGACAACCATAAATACTCACCCCCTCGGGCAATACGTAATCCCCCAGCACGGTCTCCTTATCCAGAGTGCGAGTGGTGAATGGCACGGAGGGGTTTATCCTGCAAATTGAACAATAATATGAGAAGTCATCAGCCGTATGTACAGGACATGTATCTTGCTCCTTCAGGGTGATGGATAAGATCTGTAATTAGCATGTATCATCCAAGGCATCCAGTGATAAATTCCTAGCAGGCATGAACTGTCATTTTCTAAGAGGTAGACATAAAATGAAACAGGGGGCATAGTAAAGAGTTAATGAAGGCCCGTGCAGTACACGAAAAGCCCCGTGGCAATCAAGGATGGCAGAAATATTGTGTGACGGTTAAAGCTGATCTCTAGGCAAACAGCTAAATCCACAGATGAAATACATATAAGGAAGTCATTATACCTGCTAAAGTATTTGTATTTCTGCCTATCCAGCCTTGAGATTTACACAGCTCTGCCACACAGCAGGGCAGACGATCTGATTGCAGTTAGGTAACACTTACAGGTCTTAGGTCCCCACACTGTGATAGGACAGTGATATGGGAAGCAGAAGACTGATGAGCTCATCTCTCTGCTCTCTCCCTCTATCAACATATTCTTTGTTAGCACTTGAGCACTGCAGTACAACTTAATCGCTTCCATGTCCACGTGTGCACATTTGTACAGTCTAGAGGTTTTTACACAAAATTGACGTAGCTATTTGGAGACCTACCTCATCGATTCCTTTAAGCAGGCCTTTAGGTAGGGCATGTGCTTTAAGTCCTCCGCGCTTGGCACCTGGTCGGGCGACAAAAACGCTTTGGATTTCAGCGTAAAGCTTCTCTTGGATGTGCGGGTTTCGGGAAAGGTTAAATATGGCCCAGAGTAAGCTGTTTGCCACCTGGACAACAAATGAAAAATGTGAAAAAGGGAAGATAAATAGGCAATTAGAAACATTAAATAAATATGTATGGAATTTTTACACTGCGTCAGGAATGAGGTACAGCGATCACAGAGAGAAGGGAGGGTTTGTAATGAAACGGTAAATATTTGACAGTCCAATCATCTGAATGCCCAGAAATGCAAGTTTAAAAGAGAAGGTGGGCAGGACAAAAGAGAGGAAATAGGGAAGAAAAAAAAGGGGAATAAGACAGAGATGAAGGGGTAAGAGAGAGAAAGAGGGGGGAAGGGAGAGAGAGAGAGAGAGAGATAAAGGGGGGGGGGAGAGAGGAGGGGAGGGAGAGAGAGAGGGGGGAGAGAGGAGGAAGGGGGGAGAGAGGAAGAGAGAGAGAGAGAGGGGGGGTCAATTGATCGATGGAAGAGGCAGACAGAGATGAAGGGGTAAGAGAGAGAAAGGAAGAGAGAGAGAGGGGGGGGGGGGGGAAGAGAGAGAGGGGGGGGGGAAGAGAGAGAGAGAGGGGGGGGGAGAGAGATCAATTGATCGATAGAAGAGGCAGACAGAGAGGAAGGGGTAAGAAGCAGAAAGTGCTGAGAGGAAGGAAATTACAGAATCCTAAATGGAAATGGGAAGGGCAGGCAAAGAACAGGGGAAACAAAAGAAAAAGAGAAAGGAAAAATGAAATAAAGGGAAGGAATGAAAAATAGATAAAAGAAAAGGAAGGAAAAAAAAGTTAAAAAGAGAGTAAAAAGAAAACTGAAAGGGAAGAAAAAAAGGAAAGGGATGAAAAGCCAAAAGAGAAGGAAAGGAAAAAAGTGACTGGAAAGGTGGGAAAAAAAGAAGAGAAAGGAAAGGAGAAGGGAATAAAAAGAGATGAATACAGTAAGGAAAAGAAGAAAATAGATGAGGATAGAAAGGACAGGAGAATGGAAGGAAAAAAGATGAGGATAGAAAGGAAAGGAAAAGAGAAGGAAAAAAAAAAAGATGAGAGACAGAAAGGAAAGGAGGAGGGAAAGAAAATAGACGAGGATAGAAAAGAAAAGAGAGAGGAGGAAAAAAGATGGAGACTAAAAAGGAAAGGTGGAAGAAAGAAGAAATGAAGAGAATAGAAAGGAAAGGAGAAGGGAAGGAAAAAAAATGAGGATAGAAAGGAAAGGAGAAGGGAAATAAGGATAGATGAGGATAGAAAGGACAGGAGAAGGGAAGGAAAAAATATGGAGAATAAAAAGGAAAGGAAAGGAGAGGGGAAGGAAAAAAGATGGAGAATAAAAAGGAAAGGTGGAAGAAAGAAGAAATGAAGAGAATAGAAAGGAAAGCAGAAGGGAAGGAAAAGAGAAAAGGATAGAAAGGAAAGGAGGAAGAAAGAAGAAAAGAAGAGGATAGAAAGGAAATGAGACAGGAAGGAAAAGAGAAGAGGATAGAAAGGAAAGATATAGAAATGATGGGGTTCAGAAAGGAAAAGAGAAAAAGATAGAAAGGAAAGGGGAAAGGAAGGAAATAAGAAGAGGATGGAAAGGAAATTGGAAGGGAAGGAAAAGGAAAGATAATGGAGATGAGAAGGGAGGGGAGGAAAAGGGAAGGGATGGAAAATAGAAGAGGAAGGGAAAGAGAGGTAGAAGGGAGGGAGAATTCAATGAAAGGAAAGAGGGTGGGAAAGCAGAAGGAAAGTCTGGGGAAGGAAAATAAGGGTGAAAGGAAGAGTAAGGAGAATGAAAGAAAAAGTGAAAGGGAAAGGAAATGGAAGGAAATGAAATTTAGGAAAAGGATTTTGGTTACTTTGCTTGTAAGTAAAGCAATGGCTCCAAAAACAAACATATCTGTGGATTTTACAAAGTTTGTTGGTCTACATCCACATCCAGGGGCGGACTGACAACTCATGGGGCCCCCGGGCAATAGGGAATCATGGGGCCCCTGTGTACTTGCCCAAACTCAAAAAAGCCTATGAAAAAGGTACCAGGGGCATCTCATGGAGCCCCCTACTGACCCCAGGCCCTCGGGCAGTGCCCGAGTTTCCAAATGGTCAGTCTGCCTCTGACCATATCTTACCGTTTCTACCCCTCCGATCAGCATCTCGGTGATGGTGGCATACATCTCTTTCTTGGACAGCTTGCTGTCTTTGTAGATGGTGCAGAGGAAATCCTCGTCCTCCTTACTGGAAAGCTTCATCAGTCTTCTGTCTATGTGACACTTTGCTGCAAAGGGGAGACAGATGACTGTGTAAAGCCGGCTCTGCACCACATATCATGGTAAGAAAAAAAGGGACTCACATGGGGAAAAACACAACGTAAATCAATGGCGCAGATAAAAATGACAACACTGTCACTTCCATTTATCAATCACTTTTGTAGCGGCAGGAGGAGAATGAATGATTGACTAGACGATGGTGTGCTCATTGTGCTTCCTGCGGACATTAATTGCTGCATAGGTAAACATCCATAGCAAACAATGAAATATAGATCATGATCAGCTGGAGTTTGATTAGCTTTTTCTACGGCTTCAAGGGAAGCTCCAGTTAAAGGGACATAAAATCTAAATACATTTCAATGGGCTGATAACCTCACCATAATTTGTCTTAAAGTACAACTTTGCCCAAGACTATTGTGCTTTGGATATGGTGGGAAAAAATATTTTATCTGGAGTTGGATTTTAAGTTTAAGCATTGATGGAGGATAAAGTGGGGCCATGAGCTTGGGTCAGAGTTGGTTCTCTACCTGTTTTGAAGATGCTGTCCCAGGCATGGGTGTGATCTTTCCAGATTTTGGTGTTCAGACGTTTGTGCAGTTCCACCGGTGTCACCATCATCAGACCGAAGGTGCTCATCATCTGTAGGACAAACCAGAGGAGATATGTCTTAGTTTAAAACTACGTACCTGCAGCCATGGTGAACCTCAAGTTTTAATGTTTTATTCCTTTTCTTTTTTTCTTGCCAGAGAACTCATGGTTATATTTGCTGAGACAGACTTGGGTATGGTCCTAAAGACGTCTGTACTGATCTACTGTGCAAGGTGGCCAGCACAATGAAGATGTGGCCTGATCTGAACATTGTGGAAGCCGTGGCCATAGTTTGAAGGCTAGTATCGGTAGAAAGGAAGAATGGGTTACTTTAGGTTGGGGGTGTTAAAAGCATGAGCTGGGTGGGAAGTATTAAGTCAACAGGCCCTACACAATGTGCTTATTTTTCACTGTGCAACATCTTCTCATAACAAACATGGCTTTCAGCTTGGTAAGAGCCAACACAGAACAATAGCCTTCATGGAAAGCATATGTAGCACTACCCCCTTAGGAGTCACTAAAGTTTGGGTCCCCTTATAGTCCTGTACAGCCAGTTTCTTCTTCCATGCTTGCACAATGAGACAGGAACCAGTCCTTAGGCTTGTTTGGAAGTTTTATTAGGGGAATTAGAACTTGGATGGGGTGACGGGGTATATGGAATGCCCAAGGACAATGGTAACAGAGATCAAACTCCTTTGCAACTATGTACAAGTCTTTACAGCAACAATTCTTATGGAGAGCTAGCCAGCATCTCCTGTAGTACCGCCCCAGACCCCAGATGAATCCTCTCCTCATCTAGCTGTACTGGGGTGAATCCCTAGGCAGGGGATCCAGTGCCTGCCACTGCAGTGTGAACAGTCCAGGGTAAAGATAATCCAGATCCCCACCAGAGTACCTCTTTCCCCTTGCTGGCCCAGGGGGTGCAGGTTTACTCACTGGGTCCTACTCCTGTCTTACCGGTGGGTTGTGGCTGCTACCAGACCTTCTACCTGGGCCGCTCATTCCCTGCCTTCACGGCTGGTTAATTCCTAGTCTTTCCTCCTTCCAAGGTCCCTCTACCTGGAGGTGAGCCCCTTTTCCCATCTGGGCCCCCTTCACAGGCTCCTTCATCTTTTCCTCTCTCACATCTTCCACATGACTCACTCTCCCTTTTGAGCAGGCTCGGTTGCTCTTAAAGATTATCCTGGTCCCTTGCCAAGCCTCCTGTTGGGGACTGTCTAGGATCCTCTAAGAGTACAGACCAGCCACTCCTCAGATCAACACACTGCTTTTAGACCTTTCTCCAAAGTTCTAGAGCAGGGGGAAATTCCAGAAGGCTGGCCTGCAGAACCTCTCAGCTCTGAGAAAAATCTGACCCCTGCTAGCTACTGCTACTCAGCCCTAACTAACAATTGGAGTCTAGTTCCCCTGATTAACTAGGAGGGTGCTACACATACGTAAATAACACATGTGCTATTTTCCCTATAGCTGTGTTATTGGCAGCACTGTCCATTTTCATTGTCCTTTCAAACCCCCACAAAATTTCCTGATCCCGACCTGCTGTGACTTTATAACCTGTTATCAAAAGACCTGATGGCTTTAATCTGCCATTGCTGGAACAATTGTCATACCGTTTTTTATAGCCGTGATAAAGTCCAAGGCCTCTTCTCCTAAATTAGGCTGTAAAAAACCAAATCGCTTCTCATAGAGGATCATGCAGATACCTGAGAAGGAAACACAGAGGGATCCATAAATCGTAATGTTAACGGGGAGTGGCGTGCCTCCTGATCTTGTTTCAGAGTGTTCATCAAACACACGTTCATGCAGATCAGAATGTCACGTTGATTTAAATCATTTTGGGCAGTAATGGAGGTATAAAGCGGACCTGTCATCAGAAATATTTTTTCATGTTGAGTGCAGCATGTTAAGTACTGTATTTACTACCTTTCTCAGAAATCGCAGTACTCCCCCTCCTCACATTACTTTCATCTGCTATCCAGGACAGTGCCGTTATATTTCAGGCATTATCCAGAGTCATTATCTTCTCCCTGGATTGAGAATCATCTGTATCTGTTTGAAATACATATATTGGGGCTTTGCTTCTGGTTTACTAGAGCTGCAGAGTCATTGCAATACACTGTTCTGTCATTGTAAGTCTGCCAGTCAGGCCTGACTGATAGAAAAGCAATGCACTCTGGAGCCGATTCAGTTTATTCTGCGCAGTTGCTTCACGGAGCAGTGGGTGATTGCATTGAGATACAGATATAGATTAGAGGGGGCGTGCACATATTTCCATAAATAATTTAATAATATGTATATGGACTAGAAATGATAGAAACATGGGAAAGCCTGTCACAAGCAGTTTTAGGAAAATGTAATAATAACAGGTCAGTTTCTCTTTAAAGGGAACCGGATATAGAAACACCTGCCCTCTTTCTAAAAATGAGAATAGCTTGGGTATTGTTCTGAATCTCCATCTACCAAGTGAGACATTGACCCAGAGCAAGCATGCAGGATGAGGGTTCTGACATCACAAACCTTGTTCTTACCCAATGCAGTGAGGGCATAAGATCAACATGACAGCCAATAAGCTAGCATAAGGATTCGTCTCATGACAGGTCCTCTTTTACAGCATTACTAAATCTTCAAATGCAGTAAGAAACTTACTCTCCAGAGACCACTTATTCAGTTCACAATACAAGTCCTCGATCTTCCCCTCGGGAGTGAGCACCTCATCCATTCTCTGCACAAAGTCCACCATCACCTTGGTGTAAAGGAAATACATTCAATGTTTGGGGATGGCATGTACAGTAACTGCAATGTATCACACCCATTCTCAGAAATCTAAATTTCTGCCAGTACCCCAGGCAGCCACTGAACCATTTCTGTAAATGTGTTCGTCTAAAAAAACTGATGCCTCCAGCTGATGGACTAACTGGGGCTTTTCATGCCATGAACGGTTTTGATACTTGAAGTACAGCCAGACCCCCCCCCCCCCCCCCCCACCACCACCACCACCACCACCACCACCATATTGGTCACCTTCTCTCTTTCTACTATATGTTTCCCCTTTTCTCCCCATCCTTCTGTTTGTCTTTTACTTCCACATGTTATCCTCTCATTGCCTGTCACCTTCTTGTCCTCTCTCACCATCTCATCTACTTTCTCCCTCAATTTCTATGACGGTTCTTACCTATCTCCTCACTTGCTTGCTGTCTCTTTTCTTCTCTTTATCTTTTATCACCTTTTTCTCGCTCTTTTTTTCTCCTTTTTTGTTTCTCTTTTCCTCCTCCTCCTCCTCCTCTCTCCCCCCTCTCTACTTCCACTTCCCTCTCTAATCTCTCTCCTTCCTATCTCACCTATCTAAAGCAATCTCTCCCTCCTCTCTTCCCTCTCCTTATCTCCTCTATTTCTCTGCCGACTTCTCATTTTTGCTCTCCTTGTCTCTCTTTCTTATCCCTCTCTTTTACTCATGTTTTCCCTTTCTCCCTCTCCCTCTTTTCCTCCGCCTCTCTCTAACTTCAGTCTGCTTCCTTCCTTCCTCTTGCTCTCCCCCCCTCTCATACACCTTCCCTTTCCCTCTCCCTCTCTATGCCCCACTCATCCACCTCCTATCTCTCACACTTTCTCTCTCTCAAAACTCTCCTGTTCTCCTTCCCTTTCACCCATCTCCCTCTCTCTATCACTCATCCTCCTTTCTCACCCCTCGCCCGCTCTTCTCTCACTGTCTCTCTCTCTCACTGCTCTCCTCCTCTCTCACCTAGCTCCCTTCTGTCTCTCACCCATCTCTCGCTCTCCTTCCCTGTCACCTGCCTCCTATCTCTCACTCTTCTCCCACCCCCTCTCCTCCCCTTTCCCCATCTCCTCCTCTCTTTCTCCCCCCCCCTCTCCCCTCTCCTCTCCTCTCACACTGTGCCTCTCTCACTGCCCCCCTCTCCTCCCCTCTCTCACCCCCCCTCCCCTCTCTCCCCTTCTCTCACTCTTCTTCCCTGTCACCCCCCCATCTCTCTCTCTCTCTCTCTCTTTCCCCCCCCCCCCCCTCCCCCTCTTCTCCTCTCTCACTCGCCTCCCCTCTTCCTCTCTCTTACCTCCCTCCTCTCTCTCTCACTCCTCTCCCCCTCCCCCCTTCTCTCACCCAACTCCTCTTTTGCACTCTCTTTCTCCTCAGCCCCCCCCCCCCACTGTCTCTCTCTCGCTACTCTCCCGCTTTCCTCCCTCTCCACCTACCCCCCCTCTCTCTCCTCCTCTTCCCCTTTACCCTCTCTCCCCCCTCCCCCCCTCCCTCCCCCCCCCTCTCACCCCCCCTCCTCTCTCTCTCTCCCCCTCTCCCGATCTCCTGCCCACTCACTCCCTCCCTTCCTCCCCCCCCCCCTCCTCTCCCCCTCTCCTATGCTCTCACCCCCTCCTTTCTCTGTCATTCCTCTCCTGCTCTACTTCCCTGTCACTCACCTCCTCTATCTCACCCCTCTTCCTCTCTCCTTCCTTCTTGCCCACCTCCCCCCTTGCACTGTCTCTCTCTCACTCCTCTCCCCCCTCCCCCCCTCCTCTCCCACCCACCTCCTCCCTCTCACTCCTCTTCTGCTCTCCTCCCCACTCACCACCCCCTCCTCTCTCTACCTCTCCTCCACCTCCTCTGTTGTCACTCTCTTAGTAGCTCTGGTAACATAAGCCATGCATATTAAGCATCTCGGTGTAATTACCTCATTGATTTTGGTGTCTAATTTCCCAACTTCTGTCGGCTTCATTAACTTTTGCTGAAAAGCACTTCGAACTCGCTGCCAGTCCTTCCCTTCCCTGTACAGGGACACAAATGAATTAGTGAAACAAACACCTTACCTAACACACAAAACCAAGAAAAACACCATGATGCTTTGTGTGTCCTACATTGGTGATATATATCTTGAGGAGCAACAGGTATCTATGTACACACACACTCTAAAGCCTAGTACACACGATGAGAAATTTGGGCGAAAAATACCGCTTTCGGAACGATCGTCCGACAAAACTGATCATTAGTGCACAGCTTTCGAGAGTTGATCATGACAGTTCATGCAAAATTATCCAAAGGCACAAGCACGAAAATTTTTCTCGTACAATGCCAGAATGAATGATTGTCATTCAATCGGTACAGCATTCTTCCGTTAAAAAAAAAAATCGAGTAACCAACACCGCGCATACTCGGAAAAGAAAGAGTTATGTTCTGTATCAGCCACTCCTCTCTGCCAATCCCTCCACTGATCTCCACTCAGTGTCCTCCACCCCTCTCTGCCAATCCCTCCACTGGTCTCCACTCAGTGTCCTCCACCCCTCTCTGCCAATCCCTCCACTGGTCTCCACTCAGTGTCCTCCACCCCTCTCTGCTAATCCCTCCACTGACCCTCCACTCAGTGTCCTCCACCCCTCTCTGCCAATCCCTCCACTGGCCTCCACTCAGTGTCCTCCACACCTCTCTGCCAATCCCTCCACTGGTTTCCCATTGCCCAACAGATACAATTCAAAACAATAACAATAACATATAAAGCCATTTATAACTCTGCCCCAAATTACATCACTGATCTTGTCTCTAAATATCACCCCAAACCGTACTCTCCGCTCCTCGCACGACCTCCTGCTCTCTAGCTCCCTTGTCTCCTCCTCCCATGCTCGTCTCCGGGACTTCTCCAGAGGTTCCCCCATCCTCTGGAATTCTCTGCCCCAATTTATCAGACTATCGCCTACTCTGCTCACTTTTGGGCGATCTCTGAAAACCTATCAGGGAAGCCTATCCCGCCCTCAGCTAAAAACAGAATCTTCTACTCTTCCAACCAGTCCATCCCCCACAGTTACTACCTTTTGACCACTAGCCCCTCCCTCCTAGATTGTAAGCTCCGAGGATCAGGGCCCTCCTATCCCTCTTGTATTGAACTGTATTGTCTTCCGTTATATTGTAAAGCGCTGAGCAAACTGTTGGCGCCATATAAATCCTGTATAATAATAATAATAATATTCTGTAGTAGTAGAATTTTTGTAAATGTAGTAACCCCTTAATTTTCAATTTGAGATTAGCATGCAAAAAAATAAAACCAGACGATCATTTGTCCAATATTCTTATCGTGTGTGTAGGAGGCTTAACACACACAACTCCTTTGATTTAGGATCTCAGGCTTAAACAAATACTCTTCCATTCCACACCTGACACCACTGAACCAACGTGAGCAATTGAACTGACCATCACCTAATATCAGAGGAAAAAACTATCCAATCAGCGCTGGGACTTCAAGTACTTAGTAGGAGTGAGGAAAATACAACTAATTCAGCCAGATCGCTGGCTGCTGCTCAGCTGCTCATAGAAGACGGTGATCTCCTCCAGGGAAGCAGCTCAACGGATGGAAATACAACAGGGAGTACCAAGCCAAAAGTCCAAAATTGTAATTGTTCTTTAGTAAATAACGAGCCAATGCGTTTTGGGGGGCAAAAGCTCCATCTTAATCAGGCCTTACATGTGATCAACGAAATCTGAATATAATGCTCAAAATAGTCACGGCCAAACATTTTGGTCAGTGTAAAGAATGTCTCTTACATTGGGGGTCAGGGGGAAGAATGTCTCTTACATTGGTGGTCAGTGGGGAAAAAGCTCTTTACATTGGTGGTGAGTGAGTGCGAAGAATGTCCCTTACATTGGTGGTCAGTGCGAAGAATGTCCCTCACATTGGTGGTCAGTGGGAAGAATGTCCCTCACATTGGTCAGTGGGAAGAATGTCCCTTACATTGGTGGTTAGTGGGAAGAATGTCCCTTACATTGGTGGTCAGTGGGGAAGAATACCCCTTACATTGGTGGTCAGTGGAAGAATGTCCCTTACATTGGTGATCAGTGGGAAGAATGTCCCTTACATTGGTGGTTAGTGGGAAGAATGTCCCTTACATTGGTGGTCAGTGGGAAGAATGTCCCGTACATTGGAGGTCAGTGGGAAGAATGTCCCGTACATTGGAGGTCAGTGGGATGAATGTCCCTTACATTGGAGGTCAGTGGGAAGAATGTCCCTTACATTGGAGGTCAGTGAGAAGAATGTTCCTTACATTGTTGATCAGTGGGGAGAATGTCCCTTACATTGGGGGTCAGTGGGAAGAATGTCCCTTACATTGGGGGTCAGTGGGAAGAATGTCCCTTACATTGGAGGTCAGTGGGAAGAATGCCCCCTTACATTGGTGGGTCAGTGGGAAGAATGTCCCTTACATTGCTGGTCAATGGGATGAATTCTCCTTACATTGGTGATCAGTGGGAAGAATGCTCCTTACATTGGTGGTCAGTGGGAAGAATGTTCCTTACATTGGGGGTCTGTGGGAAGAATGTTCCTTACATTGGTGATCAGTGGGAAGAATGTTCCTTACATTGGAGGTCAGTGGGAAGAATGTCCCTTACATTGGAGGTCAGTGGGAAGAATGCCCCTTACATTGGTGGTCAGTGGGAAGAATGTCCCTTACATTGCTGGTCAATGGGATGAATTCTCCTTACATTGGTGATCAGTGGGAAGAATGCTCCTTACATTGGTGGTCAGTGGGAAGAATGTTCCTTACATTGGGGGTCTGTGGGAAGAATGTTCCTTACATTGGTGATCAGTGGGAAGAATGTTCCTTACATTGGAGGTCAGTGGGAAGAATGTTCCTTACATTGGAGGTCAGTGGGAAGAATGTTCCTTACATTGGAGGTCAGTGTGGGAAAATGCTCCTTAACATTGGTGGTCAGTGGAAGAATGTCCTTTACATTGGGGGTCAGTGGGAAGAATGTCCCTTACATTGGTGGTCAGTGGGAAGAATGCTCCTTACATTGGAGGTCAGTGTGAAGAATGCCCCTTACATTGGTGATCAGTGGGAAGAATGTCCCTTACATTGGTGATCAGTGGGAAGAATGTCCCTTACATTGGTGGTCAGTGAGAAGAATGTCCCTTACATTGGTGATCAGTGGGAAGAATGTCCCTTACATTGGTGATCAGTGGGAAGAATGTCCCTTACATTGGGGTCAGTGGGAAGAATGTCCCTTACATTGGAGGTCAGTGGGAAGAATGTCCCTTACATTGGAGGTCAGTGGGAATAAGAAGAAAGAAAGAAAAGAAAAGAAAAAAGAAGGAAGAAAAAAAGAAAAATACCCCTTACATTGGGGGTCAGTGGGAAGAATGTCCCATACATTGGAGGTCAGTGGGAAGAATGTCCCTTTACATTGTGATCAGTGGGAAGAATGTCCCTTACATTGGAGGTCAGTGGGAAGAATACCCCTTACATTGGGGGTCAGTGGGAAGAATGTCCCTTACATTGGAGGTCAGTGGGAAGAATGTCCCTTACATTGGTGGTCAGTGGGAAGAATGTCCCTTACATTGGTGGTCAGTGGGAAAGAATGTCCCTTACATTGGTGGTCAGTGGGAAGAATGTCCCTTACATTGGTGATCAGTGGGAAGAATGTCCCTTACATTGGTGGTCAGTGGGAAGAATGTCCCTTACATTGGTGATCAGTGGGAAGAATGTCCCTTACATTGGTGGTCAGTGGGAAGAATGTCCCTTACATTGGTGATCAGTGGGAAGAATGTCCCTTACATTGGTGGTCAGGGGGAAGAATGTCCCTTACATTGGTGGTCAGTGGGAAGAATGTCCCTTACATTGGAGGTCAGTGGGAAGAATGTCCCTTACATTGGTGATCAGTGGGAAGAATGCAACCCTTACAGATGTGGTCAGAATGTCAACATTAAAAACAGCTAAAAATATAATTGGTGTCATACTGCTAGCTCTTCCAAGTGGTATTGGCCTTGGAAATATGCAGGCACCATCAAATAGGAGGTCAACCGGCCACAATTAAAGAAACCTCTGGAGGAACAGTAAGGTTCCACAGAGCCATGGTTGAAAATGGCTACCTTAGACTCAGGGGTGGACTGGCAACTCATGGGGCCCCCGGGCAATAGGTGATCATGGGGCCCCTGTGTCCTTGCCCACACTCAAAAAACACACCCAAAAAAGCCTATAAAAAAGGCATTTTATGGGGCCCCCTACTGACCCCGAGCCCTCCGGCAGTGCCCGAGTGCTCGAATGGTCAGTCCGCCCCTGCTTAGACTCTGCACCTTGGCCACTGTAAGCATTCTAAGCTTTGCTTCTCATGCAGGCTTGCCATGTTCTTCTGTTGATGCCAATGAGTATTCTACCTATTCATGACTTTTTGTAGTTCTCCATGTTTTCTCTGTGGCCAACACCTCTTCCTAGCCCTAGCTGTTACAACTGACTCTTGGCTAGTCAAGGGGCTCCTAACATTTTAATGCTTGTCTGTTAGAAGTGCGGCAATTTTCACAGAAAGGTCATCTATTCTCAAATTACATTAGTTCTGTGATTACATAGATTTAAATGGGGTTCAGGAGTTTCCCCCATTTTATTATACATTCGGACGGGGAGGAATAAAAGGTAAAAGGAAAAAGCTATGTATTGTCAAGATGGTCTCGGATCCTTGTGTTCCCAGTTGTGATTGGTCATTGCGTCTGTTATTATGCCTGTTACAGGATCTGCGTATCCACATTCTGTCTATGTGTCCGTTTTTATATTTCATTGTCTTGACAATAAAAGTTGTTTGGATTTAAAAAAAAAAAAAAAAGAGGGGGGGGGGGGGGGGGGGGGGGTTCAGGAGAAGTTTTATTGAACAGTAAATTTAGTTTTAGGATGCGCTTTATATAGATAAATAAATAGATAATAGATAAATAATTTCCCGATCAGAGATGGTGTTGTTGGGATTCAATGGTGATACTGACAGATGAAAATGAATGAAGCGTATGATTCATATCCCAGTCGCACAACAGGGTGTCGCAATTTACCAGACCGGCGAGAAAACAGTCTGGCCGCGGCGTAATCAATCACGAAAACCTGACTCTGGAAATAGCTCTAGCTCCAAACAAAAAAAAAACGAGGACCCCGCCTGTCTAATTTACGATGCCTCCTCAAGAAGACCGCAAAAGGCATTACGCCTCGGTCAGTAAAAAAAAAATTTAAAAAAATTGCCCGTTTTATATATTTTAGTGACTCGTCTGCGCCTGTCGCTTTGGCCCTGCTTGCACGACTCTTGGCCCCGTCCACACAATGACCCCATAGATGGCTGGCATAGGTCGGCGCTGTCTGTCTGCTTTTTCATCTCTTTTTTATGAATCTTACCACCAAGTGGAAAAAAAAAACCGCCACGCCATCTGCAAATATTTTTATAGGCCCTCAGCTATTCATAATAAAATCGAATGTTCCGTGAGGGCGTTGGCTTTATCCAATCTGGTCTCTTCATAATAAAAACATAAACATCTGGCACTGCGCATGCTACCCGTGACTACTGTATACAGGATTATCTCTTCTGGCGCTGACTATACTCCTGCATGTGAGTAGGCAGGTGGACCAAGCACAATATCAGCTTTTCTACTGATCACATCGTTCACACGCCAATAAATCCAAGGTTTTAAAGGATTTACCCCGAGGGCTATAGTGAAACTCAGAGACTAAAAACATGACAGCAAATCACAGGCTATCCCCCCCTCCAGACCATCATGAATACTGCTGCCAGACTCATCCACCTTACTAACCGTTCTATATCCACCATCTCTCTCTGCCAATCCCTCCACTGGCCTCCACTCAGTGTCCTCCACCTCTCTCTGCCAATCCCTCCACTGGCCTCCACTCAGTGTCCTCCACCTCTCTCTGCCAATCCCTCCACTGACCTTCACTCAATGTCCTCCACCTCTCTCTGCCAATCCCTCCACTGACCTTCACTCAGTGTCCTCCACCCCTCTCTGCCAATCCCTCCACTGGCCTCCACCCCTCTCTGCCAATCCCTCCACTGGCCTCCACTCAGTGTCCTCCACCCCTCTCTGCCAATCCCTCCACTGACCTTCACTCAATGTCCTCCACCTCTCTCTGCCAATCCCTCCACTGACCTCCATTCAGTGTCCTCCATCCCTCTCTGCCAATCCCTCCACTGACCTTCACTCAATGTCCTCCACCTCTCTCTGCCAATCCCTCCACTCAATGTCCTCCACCTCTCTCTGCCAATCCCTCCACTGGCCTCCACTCAGTGTCCTCCATCCCTCTCTGCCAATCCCTCCACTGACCTTCACTCAATGTCCTCCACCTCTCTCTCTGCCAATCCCTCCACTGACCTTCACTCAGTGTCCTCCACCTCTCTCTGCCAATCCCTCCACTGACCTTCACTCAATGTCCTCCACCTCTCTCTGCCAATCCCTCCACTGGCTTCCCATTGCCCAACGAATAAAATTCAAAACATTAACAATAACGTATAAAGCCATTTATAACTCTGCCCCAAATTACATCACCAATCTTGTCTCCAAATATCACCCAAACCGTCTTCTCCGCTCCTCGCAAGACCTCCTACTCTCTAGCTCCCTTGTCTCCTCCTCCCATGCTCGTCTCCAGGACATCTCCAGAGCTTCCCCCATCCTCTGGAACTCTCTACCCTAATTTACCTGACTATTGCCTACTCTGCTCACTTTCAGGCGATTTCTGAAAACCGATCTCTTCAGGGTGTGTACACCTGCTGTGCCCATTATGAGGGGTTCCCACCATCCTTGTGTTGAGTTCCCGGGTCTGTACACCCGCTGTGCCCATTATGAGGGGCTCCCACCATCCCTGTGCTGAGTCCCGGGTCTGTACACCCCCTGTGCCCATTATGAGGGGTTCCCACCATCCCTGTGCTGAGTTCCCGGGTCTGTAGACCCACTGGGTCCATTATGAGGGGTTCCCACCATCCCCATGCTGAGGTCCCGGGTCTGTACACCCGCTGTGCCCATTATGAGGGGTTCCCACCATCCCTGTGCTGAGTTCCCAGCTCTGTACACCCGCTGTGCTCATAATGAGGGGGTTCCACCATCCCTGTGCTGAGTTCCCAGGTCTGTACACCTGCTGTGCCCATAATGAGGAGTTCCCACCATCCCTGTGCTGAGTTCCCAGGTCTGTACACCTGCTGTGCCCATAATGAGGAGTTCCCACCATCCCTGTGCTGAGTTCCCAGGTCTGTACACCTGCTGTGCCCATAATAAGGGGCTCCCACCATCCCGGGTCTATACACCCGCTGTGCCCATTATGATGGGTTCCCACCATCCCTGTGCTGAGCTCCAGGATCTGTACACCTGCTGTGCCCATTATGAGGGGTTCCCACCATCCCTATGCTGAGTTCCTGGGTCTGTACACCCGTTGTGCCCATTATGAGGGGTTCCCACCATCCCTGTGCCGAGTTCCTGGGTCTGTACACCCGCTGTGGCCATTATGAGGGGTTCCCACATCCCACCAGGTGTACAGAACTCAGCACAGGGATGGTGGGAACCCCTCATAATGGGCACAGCAGGTGTACAGACCCGGGAACTCAGCACAGGGATGGTGGGAACCCCTCATAATGGGCACAGCAGGTGTACAGACCCGGTAACTCAACACATGGATAGTGAGAACCCCTCATAATGGGCAGACCTGAAACCCAGCAACAGAGTCTCCAAGAGACAGAGGAGAGGCAGTCAGGGGGTTTAACCCTCCAGCATCTACCAAAAACTCAAATGTCGGTTTTATTTGGACTGATCCTGAACTCTCCTACAGAACGCAGTGTATATATATATATTTTACGTACAATATTAGGAGACCGTAGGCTTCATCCCGGTAGTCTCGGTACGCCTTCCAGGGCTTGATCTCCAGTCTTTTGGGGTAATTGCTCTCCTCTCTGAACAAGGCTTCTAACAGGCAGGGAGCCCCGATGTGGACGGAGTCAAACGATCCCAGCTTCATGCGGAAGATCTTCCCGTATTGCTTGTGGTAGCCGGCCTGAAAAGAAAAAGGTTAGTCAGGGCTGCATTCAGAGTGGACGGGCCGCTTAAAAGTTTATCTAGATGCAAGAACTCAGATGCAACATTTGCAGCCTATTAGTCCTTAGATGCAATGGCTGCATTACTTTTACTTTTTCCGAACCTTATTTTCACCTGGTGATCCTACCAGTAACACACTTCCTGTCCTATGGTGACAACGCTCCCTTACTGTACTGTATCTGTGGAGGAGCAGCATTAGAACTTGTAGTATGTTAGGACCAGGGGTGGGCTGACAACTCATGGGGCCCCCGGGCAATAGGGAATCATGGGGCCCCTGTGTCCTTGCCCAAACTCAAAAAAGCCTATGAAGAAGGTACCAGGGTCATCTCATGGGGCCCCGTACTGACCCCGGGCCCTCGGGCAGTGCCGAGAGCCCGAATGGTCAGTCCGCCCCTGGTTAGGACTAGAGGACATATTCCCCTCTCCTTCTATACATAAAATTGAGGATTATCAGCTGGGTAGGGCTGATATCAACACCAGACATCACTGGATTTCTTCCAGCATCTACAGGGATTTCCGAACTTATCACACAGATATAACAAATGCTTTCAATTGTACATTTAACAGATCAGAAGGGAGCCATTGAATGAAGTTCATTGGTAGGGTTGGCTGAGAGCGCTGATTGGATGCGGGCTTGCTCTTTGACGGAAGCTTGTCCGGAGACCGACTTCTGTTGGAGGAGCTGTACATGCGGGTGGGAAAGTTGGCCGGTTCCTGATGAAGTGACCGTTTCTGGACAGATTTCGGCCCATGTGTACCCAGCATTACAGACTGTTTTTGTGTTTAGGGAAAGGGGGAGGGGGTTGTCTTTGCACACCTCTCATTATGATAACCTCAGTTTCCAGTAATCCCAATGATGACATTGTCACCAACACAGGAAGTGAAAAAGGATCTAGGAAAAGGGAGTAGGAAATGGAAAGGAAAGGGAACGGGAGAGGGGAAAGGACAGGAAAGGGAAAGGGAGAGGAGAAAAGGAAAGGAAATGAAGTAGGAAAGGAAAAGGAGTAGGAAAGGAAAGGGAACAGAGAAGGGAAAGGAAAGGAAAGGGAAAGGGAGAGGGGAAAGGACAGGAAAGGGAGAGGGGAAAGGACAGGAAAGGGAAAGGGAGAGGGGAAAGGACAGGAAAGGGAGAGGGGAAACGACAGGAAAGGGAGAGGGGAAAGGAAAGGGAAAGGGGGAGAGGAAGGGAAAGGGAAAAGGGAAAGGAAAGGGAAGGGAAAGACAGAGGGAAACGGAAAGGAAAGGGAAAAGGGAAAGGAAAGGTAAATGGAAAGGGAGAGGAGAAAGGAAAGGGAGAGGGGAAAGGAAAGGAAAGGGAGAGGGGAAAGGACAGGAAAGGGAGAGGGGAAAGGACAGGAAAGGGAGAGGGGAAAGGACAGGAAAGGGAAAGGGAGAGGGGACAGGACAGGAAAGGGAGGAGGGAAAGGAAAGGGAAAGGGGGAGAGGAAGGGAAAGGGAGAAGGGAAAGGAAAAAGGGAAGGGAAAGACAGAGGGAAAAGGAAAGGAAAGGGAAAAGGGAAAGGAAAGGGAAAAGGGAAAGGAAAGGTAAATGGAAAGGGAGAGGAGAAAGGAAAGGGAGAGGGGAAAGGAAAGGAAAGGGAGAGGGGAAAGGACAGGAAAGGGAGAGGGGAAAGGACAGGAAAGGGAGAGGGGAAAAGAAAGGAAAGGGAAAGGGGGAGAGGAAAGGAAAAGGGAAAGGGGAAAGGAAAGGTAAATGGAAAGGGAGAGGAGAAAGGAAAGGGAGAGGGGAAAGGAAAGGGAAGGGAAAGACAGAGGGAAAAGGAAAGGAAAGGGAAAGGGGAAAGGAAAGGTAAATGGAAAGGGAGAGGGAGAAAGGAAAGGGAGAGGAGAAAGGAAAGGAAAGGAGAGGGGAAAGGACAGGAAAGGGAAAGGGAGAGGGGAAAGGGAAAGGGAGAGGGGGAAAGGGAAGGGAAGGGAAAGGGAAAGAGGGAAGGGAAGGGAAAGGGGAAAGGACAGGAAAGGGAAAGGGAGAGAGGAAAGGGAAAGGAAAGGAAAAGGGAGAGGGGAAAGGAAAGGTAGAGTAAAGGAGAGGAGAGAACAGGGAGAGGAGGGAAAGGGAGTGGGAAAAAGGAGAAAGGAAAGGAGAAAGGGAAGGAGAAAGGGAAGGAGAAAGGGAAGGAGAAAGGGAAGGGGAGAGGAAAGGAGAAAGGGAAGGAGAAAGGGAAGGGGAGAGCAAAGGAGAAAGGGAAGGAGAAAGGGAAGGGGAGAGGAAAGGAGAAAGGGAAGGGGAGAGGAAAGGAGAAAGGGAAGGAGAAAGGGAAGGGGAGAGGAAATGGGGAAGGGATAATGTTTTTTCTAGCATGACATGAATTACTACATTTTAATTATTAATATTCTCAGACAGAACCAGTCATTCCAGCAGGAGAGGCTTCCCTGTAATCGGGATTTTGGCTCGCTGTCAGTTTCTCTACATAATAAAGAATATTTCAGGTTTGCAATCCTGATCCTAATTTTAATTTTTATTTCAGAGAAACAACAACTTGCTGTATTTATCAAACATTACATTTCGAAGCACACGCTGGCCTCCTGCAACAGTTTCCATCTCATTGCTTTAGGAGTTAAGGGCAACAGGAGACTTTTTACGACAAGGTTTCTTTGTATGGTGATCACTGTCACACGAGGGTGATCACCGACCATTGGTGAGTGTATTCCTTCGCCTGCACAGTGACAATTGCACTCAGAGAGATGGGGATATAAACGCACGCAGGGAAGACGTTCTCTCTGATAGTAGCTGGGAAGTACACTTGTTGCTGGAAGACCCTAAGGAGTTAAACAGCCTCTCAAAGCTTATAGTGAAGAAGGTAACAGACCAGCGGAAAGTTCAGCTCACTGCAACAGATTTCAGGCTACTGTACATACGCTGAGCTGTCTTCCTCATACTACAGAGACCTGCCGCTGTTAACCATTCGCGTTCTGCAAACAATTTTGCAGCAGCGATTTTAACCTTTACGAAGTCCCTTACGGTACAAAAAAGTGAGAATAACATAAAAAAACATAAAAAAAATCTATGAATTAAAAAAAAAATTAATAATAATAATTTTTTATATTAAACTAAGAATTAAGAAAAAGCAACATGGATAAATTTTAAAACAAATCCACTTAATGTCAAATATTTTAAAGAATATAAAATGTATATTAAGCTGAGCATAAAAAAATTTAGAAAAAAATAAATAAAATGAAATAAAAATCAACTTAATGTAAAATATTTAAAAGAATATAAAATATATATTAAGCTGAGCATAAAAAAATTTTAGAAAAAAATAAATAAAATAAAAATCTACTTAATGTCAAATATTTAATATAAAATATATTAAGCTGAACATAAAAAAATTTAGCAAAAAATAAATAAAATAAAAATCCACTTAATGTAAAATATTTAAAAGAATATACAATATATATTAAGCTGAGCATAAAAAAAATTTGAAAAAAATAAATACAATGAAATAAAAATCCACTTAATGTAAAATATTTAAAATAATATAAAATATATTGTGCCTGTGTGGGTTTTCTCCGGGTACTCCGGTTTCCTCCCACGCTCCAAAGACATGCTGGTAGGTTAGTTGGCTCCTGTCTAAAATTGTCCCTAGTATGTGTATGTATCAGGGGCGGACTGACCATTCGGGTACTCAGGCACTGCCCGAGGGCCCGGGGTCAGTAGGGGCCCCATGAAATGCCCCTGGTACCTTTCATAGGCTTTTTTGGGTGTGGTTTGAGTGTTGGTGAGGACACAGGGGCCCCATGATCCCCTATTACCCGGGGGCCCCATAGGTTGTCAGTCCGCCCCTGGTATGTATGAATGTGAGTTAGGGACCTTAGATTGTACACCCCTTGAGGGTTAGGGACTGATGTGAATGTACAATATATATGTAAAGCTCTGCATAAATTGACGGCGCTATATAAGTACCTGTAATAAACAAATATTAAGCTGAGCATAAAAAAAATTTAAAAAAATAAATAAAATGAAATAAAAAGCCACTTAATGTAAAATATTTAAAAGAATATAAAATATATATTAAGCTGAGCATAAAAAAAATGTAGAAAAAAAAATAAAATCAAATCAAAATCCCCTTAATGTAAAATATTTAAAAGAATATATTATTATACAGAATTATATCGCGCCAACAGTTTGCTCAGCACTTGACAATATAAGGGGAGACAATACAGCAACAATACAGTTCAATACAAGAGAGATAGAAGGGCCTGATCCTGGGAGCTGACAATCTAGGAGATATATAAAATATATATATTAAGCTGACCATTAAAAATTTTAAAAAAAAAATAAATAAAATTAAATAAAAACCCACTTAATGTAAACTATTTAAAAGAATATAAAATATATATTAAGCTGAGCACAAAAAACATTTAGAAAAATATAAATAAAATTCAATAAAAATCCACTTAATGTAAAATATTTAAAAGAATATATAAAATATATATTAAGCTGAGCATAAAAAACATTTAGAAAAATATAAATAAAGTTAAATAAAAATCCACTTAGTGTAAAATATTTAAAAGAATATAAAATATATATTAAGCTGAGCATAAAAAAAAATAGAAAAAAATAAATAAAATGAAATAAAAATCCACTTAATGTAAAGATTTACCAGCGCCTGGTGCTGCCTCTTCAGCCCTCCTTTGCGCAGTATGTCCACGAGGCTGCCCAGCAAGGGCCAGTTGGTGGGTCCAGGCAGGGTGGACAGGGAGTGTGGGCACTGGGGTGGTGGCGCCGGAAGCCCCTGCGTTTTCAGGTCGCAGGCGGTGGCCCCGGGGATGCTGTGGTGCAGGCTGATGTACCTGGATTTGAGCATCATCCACAACTTCTCCGCTTTGATCTTGGCAGCCATGGCGTTAGCAGAAGCAGGCGTGCAGCGGCTGTGAAAATCTGCATTTTTAGGCTATGGTATATATAGACGGCTGAGGTGTCAGAAAGGTCTGCTGCACAACAATCCCCAGCCAATCAGAGAGGCCCAATTAGACGATGGATCAGCTTCGTCAGGAGGGTGCTCTGGTACTTTGAGTTCATTAAAGGGCTGTTTTCTTGGCATGGGAACCGCAGGCAGCAGCCAGATCCCAAGATAAAGGCGTTCCACAGAGAACTCCACTGATTAGTCACCTCTGGGAGGATGGACTTTCTTTCCCTGCAAAGTTGACTTTTTTTTTTTTTTTTTCTTTCTTCCCTTTATTTGCTTTTGTTTGCTGTACGCTCAGGTGTCACCCAACGCTGACGTGTGTCACAAGAATGGACTCATTCACCCGCACTGATCTGTCACTGTTGCTTTCTGTGCTTTAAAGAGATGCACTATATAAACCCCAATTCTTAACTTTTTTTTTTTTTTAAATTTTTTTTTTTTTAATTGGTTTTAATCAAATCGGTTTAAATTTGTGCATTGCGGGAATGTGCGTACAATTGTGTGCTTTCCTGCAGTGCCCTTTTGCAGATTGCAGAATGCATCTGGGGGCGTGTGCCATGCATTTCAGTGCTGTGCAATTCCTCAAAGGTTTCATGTGTGGGCAGCACAGTGGCTAAATGGTTAGCACTCCCGCCTGGCAGTACTCAGGTCGTTGGTTCGAATCCCAACCATGGCACCTCCTGCCTGGAGTTTTCATGTTCTCCCTGTGCCTGCGTGGGTTTCCTCCAGGTACTCCAGTTTCCTCCAACACTCCAAAGACATGCTGGTAGGTGAATTGGATCCTGTCTAAATTGTCCCTAGTATGTGTATGTATGAATGTGAGTTAGGGACCTTAGATTGTACGCCCCTTGAGGGTTAGGGACCTTAGATTGTATGCCCCTTGAGGGTTAGGGACCTTAGATTGTACGCACCTTGAGGGTTAGGGACCTTAGATTGTACGCCCCTTGAGGGTTAGGGACCTTAGATTGTACGCCCCTTAAGGGTTAGGGACCTTAGATTGTACGCCCCTTGAGGGTTAGGGACCTTAGATTGTACGCCCCTTAAGGGTTAGGGACCTTAGATTGTACCCCCCTTGAGGGTTAGGGACCTTAGATTGTACGCGCCTTGAGGGTTAGGGACTGATGTGAATGTACAATATATATGTAAAGCGCTGCGTATATTGTGCTCATCGCTGTGCCGCTTCTCCTTTCAATGTCCAGTCACAGGTTGGGGGCCCGTCCTGGATTACCTGTGCTCAGAAGAAGTGGGTTGAATGAAGCTCAGACTGAGGACATCTAGTGGCAGAAACAAAATACTGCAGAGGAGATCAACCACTTACCATCAGCTCTATAGCAGAAGTACTGCTACAGGGCGGCAGGGCTGCGCAAAATCATGTGTGTGTGTATATGTGTGTATGTATATATATATATATGTGTGTGTGTGTGTGTATATATATATATATGTGTGTATATATGTGTGTGTGTGTATATATATATATATATATGTGTGTGTGTGTGTGTGTATATATATATATATGTGTGTGTGTGTGTGTGTGTGTGTGTGTGTGTATATATATATATATATATATATGTGTGTGTGTGTGTGTGTATGTATATATATACATACATACGTGATTTGCACTTCCAGGTGGTGGGCATGTGCCGCTATTGGCTGCTGGGGATGTCAATCACTGGGTCATGGCGCACTCAGTGATCGTTGGCAAAGCTGACGGAGGACAGACCTGTATGTAAACAACACGGGTTTCTCTCCTGTCAGCATGGACATGCTGCTTTGTATCTCTCTGCACAGCAGTGAAAATGTTTTTTTTTTCAAAATTGTTTTTTTTTTGTTTAAAGTGCAAAAAATAAAAAATGCGGAGGTGATCAAAAACCCCTGAAAGAAAGCAGTATTTGTGGGAAAAAAATTAAATAAATGTCATTTATGTACAACATTGCATGACCGCACAATTGTCAGTTAAAGTGACGCAACGTCGTATCGCAAAGAATGGCCTGGTCAAGAAGGGGGGGGGGGGGGGGGGGGAGTCCTCTGGAGGGCGAGGGGTTAAGCTGAACTCCAAGCAGATAAAAACAGCTGAAATACAGATCTGTTTTAATTGGACAATGGATAAAACCGGTTTTCAGATTCCAATACCCAGCTAGGTCCTTGACCTCACTTTCCAACCTGGCAGTTCAAACAGTTTGGCTTGGTCACAGACCTACATCAGCCTGTAGTTAGATCAAAGGAGGCTGATATCAGATTTTAAACGTCTTTAGTTCTGTAATGAACCAAGAATGGCAGCCGGAGAAAACTGCGTCACCCTGATTTTCCACTGCCGATTGTTCTGCGATAGCAGTGTCGATGTAAAAGGTGACAGCTATTTGTACATTGCTCTGTCCTGTTCTGCAGCTTTGTAACCTCGGGGTCATTGGTGGTACTCAATCACTTGGGGGGTGGAATTTCTTTTGTTCCTCTGTGCACTCACTAACCCTTGATTGCTCGCTCCCATTTTAGGCTGTGACCCTTGCACCTTCCTGCCCTGCATAACCTGCACACCAGCTGTAAGTCAGATAACAGATAATGGTTTTTCCCTCCAGTGTATTAACTCCTCGATGTGTCAGAGAGTGATCAGGAGGCAAAGCAACAATCAATCAACTGAATTAATAATAATATTTATACAGGATTTATATAGAAGCCAACAGTTTGCTCAGCGCTTTACAATATAATGGGAGACAATACAGCAACAATACAATTCAATACAAGAGGGATAGGAGGGACCTGATCCTGGGAGCTGACAATCTAAGAGGGAGGGGCTAGTGGTACAAAATGTAGTAACTGTGGGGGATGGACTGGTTGGAAGAGTAGAAGATTCCAGTATTAGCTGAAGGCAGGATAGGCTTCCCTGAAGAGAGAGGTTTTCAGAGATCACCTAAAAGTGAGCAGAGTAGGCGATAGTCTGATAGATTGGGGTAGAGAGTTCCAGAGGATGGGGGAATTCCTGGAGATGTGCATGGGAGGAGGAGACAAGGAAGCTAGAGAGCAGGAGGTCGTGCGAGGAGCGGAGAGTACGGTTTGGGTGATATAATTAATAAATGGTATCCGATAGGGCAGGGGTCCACAAACATGTCAGTAAGGGGCCCACATCATATAATATACAAATGTTCGCAGTCCAGGAAAAAAAAAAACAGTTTTATAAATGAAAGCCAAAAAATTCACATGAATTCAGATGTTTTACATGGAGTTTTTGTCATGAGCATGAGAGGATTCAGTACAACAGAGAAAGAACTGAACCAAACACAGCAAAGAAATTCCAGAAAACTTCAGTCCAACAAAAAGCAATTCTGTCTGCACCGGTCTTGTCACAGTCCCTCCTCAGAGTCCTGCATTATGTTAGGGTCCTCATTAGAGCCCCCTTATATCAGATTCAACACTAAAGTCCACCCTTACATCAAAGTCCCCTCTTACATTAGGGTCACCGTCAAAGTCCATCCTTATGTCAGAGCACCCCCTTACATCAGTGTCCCCATCCCAGTCCCCCCTTACATCAGTGTCCCCATCCCAGTCCCCCCCTTACATCAGTGTCCCCATCCCAGTCCCTCCCTTACATCAGTGTCCCCATCCCAGTCCCCCCTTACATCAGTGTCCCCATCCCAGTCCCCCCTTACATCAGTGTCCCCATCCCAGTCCCCCTTTACATCAGTGTCCCCATCCCAGTCCCCCCCTTACATCAGTGTCCCCATCCCAGTCCCCCCTTACATCAGTGTCCCCATCCCAGTCCCCCCCTTACATCAGTGTCCCCATCCCAGTCCCTCCCTTACATCAGTGTCCCCATCCCAGTCCCCCCTTACATCAGTGCCCCCATCCCAGTCCCCCCCCCTTACATCAGTGTCCCCATCCCAGTCCCCCCTTACATCAGTGTCCCCATCCCAGTCCCCCCTTACATCACACTCCACATGGGTCCTCCTTACATCAGAGTTCCCCTTTACATTAGACTCCACGCAAAAGTCCCACTTACATCAAAGTCCCTCTTACATTAGGATCCTCATCAAAGTGCCTTACTTAAATCAGAGACCCCCCCCCCCCATCCCCCTTATATCAGTGTACCCATCCCAGTCCCCCCCTTACATCAGACTCTACACCAAAGTCCCACTCATATCAAAGTAACCTCTTACATTAGGGTCTACATTATCCCTTCCTTACATCAGAGATCCCCTTACATCAGGGTCCCCATCAGAGTCCCCCCTTACATTAGGGTCCCTATCAGAGTCCCTTCCTTACATCAGAGATCCCCTTACATGAGGGTCCCCATCAGAGTCCCCCTTACATTAGGGTCCCTATCAGAGTCCCTTCCTTACATTAAGGTTCCTTCCCTTACATCAGTGTCCCCTACGGTCCCCATCAGAGTCCCCCCCCCCCTTACATCAGGCTCCCCACCAGATTCTACCCGTACATCTGGGTCCCCTCCTTACACCAGACTCCTCTGTTACATCAGAGTCCCCTTTAGATCAGGCTCCCCACCAGATTCTACCCTTAGATTTTACCCGTATATCAGGCACCAGAGGACTGACCTGTAAAACCCTCTAACCTGACCTGAAGTAAACCCTCTGTCTCGCACCCAGGCTTCTAAAAAGCCCCTAGCTACATTAAATGTACACTAGAGGGCGCTACACATAGGTTAAAAAAAAAAAACAAGTCCATCAAATTCAACCAATAGAAAAAATAAATAACTAGCACATGTTCCTGTTTCGGTGGACCAATCATCTCCTGAGTAGCTGCACTCAGACTGGCACAGGCAGGGTAAGCACTCAGGGGAACATGCTTGCAGAACAGGAGGTCTGTCTCTCTCTCCCCCCTCCCTTCTCCCTCCCTCTCTCTCCCCCCTCATTTCCTCCCCTCTATCCGTATCT